GTTCTACAGTTTTCTTTAATACGCTGTAAGTGCTTAACAGTAGCACCTGGCATATAGTAAGTATGTACTAAATGTTAGCTATAATTAGTCCTCTTACTCTGCCTTTTCTTAACAGTAGGTAAACCTTAGCATTTTCTGTTCCCTCTATTTGGAAAACTTACCTGGAATGGATGGATCAATGGAAGGAAGGGAGGGAGGGACGGAGGGAGGGAGGAAAGGAAATGACATCCCTCTCTTAATTCTGTTATCAGCTCAAATAGCAACTTATAAGAGATGCTTCCCCTGATTACCCTGTATGAAATAGCATCTACACCACCACCTTATCTCCATCAACTCTCTCATCTACTCTGGGTTTATTTTTCTTCACAGTACATATCACCATCTACATTATATATTTATTGTCTCTCTGTGCTTTGTTCAGTGTTATATGCTCCATGCCTACGACAACACTTAGTACATTGTAGGTGTTTAATGTGTATATATGGAATGAATGAATGAATGAATGAATGAGGAAAAAAAAAGCCATTTTACCAAAGGCATTTTGATAGCACTTTTAGGAATACCATACGTTAAAAGACTATATACTATTTATTCCATAATGATACAAGCCACAGTATTCATCTGTTTCATGCTGTCAGCTGTTAACGTCTTCCCATGAGAGTCGCCCATCAGAATACATGTGTTCTTGGAAAGCAGGGACAATATCATTATCTTAAGTTTCTTGGCAAAGGTATGTCCCTAACTAGATTCTGAGCTCAAGGGTTTAGGAGCACATCTTTTATTGCTTTTGTATTCTGCTTTTTAGCAAATAAATATAATAGTACTGTGTGTATAGCATGAGCTTCCTACATGTATAATTAAATTAAAAGTTAGGCTCTCAGTGATCCAGTTTTCCAAGATAAATTTTGATCTTGTTTTTGTTAGGTAATAAAGACACCTTGTTGACTGTTGAAATACGGCTACTAACCATGATTGCCTTATAGAATTCATCATCTCGCAGCACCACCTTTTCACTTTTTTTAGGGTGACAATCTCAGAATTGAGAATCCTTTGCCTCCATTCAAAATGAAATATCATGTGTTGGAGATTTCTGGCAACCTCGTTCTTTTTTTTTTTTAATAAACTTTTTTATTTTAGAATACTTTTAGATATATAGGACTTGCAAAGAGAATAGGAGTTCCTAGATACCCCACATGTACCCACTTTCCCCTATTGTTAACATCTTACATGAGGGTGCTACATTTGTCACAACGGATAACCAGTATTGATACATTATAATAAACTGAAGTTCATACTTTCAGGGGTGACCCAGTTTAAAGGTTAATTCCAATAATTTCTAAAAAATGAAAACTGATATTCAGTGTATACACATCAGGTGGTGGCTTCCTGATTCTTAAAAGAAACAAAGTAACTTTTTTTAAACAGATTTTTTTTTAAAGATTTTATTTATTTATTAGAGAGAGAGAGAGACAGCTAGAGAGGGAACACAAGCAGGCAGAGTGGGAGAGGGAGAAGCAGGCTCCTGGCCGAGCAGGGAGCCCGATGCGGGGCTTGATCCCAGGACCCTGGGATCATGACCTGAGCTGAAGGCAGATGCTTAACGACTGAGCCACCCAGGCACCCCAAGAAACAAAGTAACTTTTAACCAATGGGGCTTATCAGGAAAAAAGCAGGGACAATATCATTATCTTAAGTTATATTATAAGACTTATAATAATGTAGGTTTAAAATTCAATTGGGGGGAGGGACACCTGGGTGGCTCAGTCGTTGAGCGTCTGCCTTCTGTTCAGGTCATGATGCCAAGGTCCTGGGATCGAGTCCCGCGTCGGGCTCCCTGCTCTGTGGGAAGCCTGCTTCTCCCTCTCCCACTCCCCCTGCTTGTGTCCCTTTCTCGCTGTATCTCCCTCTGTCAAATAAATAAATAAAATCTTTAAAAAAAAAATTCAAGTGGGGGAATCTTACATTTTATTTGTAAGTTGGGTATTAATAAAGATGACAGGATGGGGTTTGATCATTATTAAAGCTGTTTTGTCGTTTGCCTGGAAAATGTTCTACAGCATGGTGTGTTCTTCATAAATATCTATCCTAAAAGCAATAATCTATCCCAAGATCCCTAGACAGAAAAGGGCTGCCGTGGAGTAGGAAATGTGCTCTCCTGCGGCTGAGTCGGGACTCAGCTGAGGACACAGCATAGGTGGCCAGTAACTCAGAGGTGAATTTCTACGATTCAGATTGGTATAAATTTAGTCTCATTCTTTTCCCCAGGACTGTCCAGTGTATGATTAGATTTTATACTGGAGCATTTTAGAGATCATAGGCATTTTGCTATTTTGCTGGAACCTTTTAATCAGCTTTCATGCAGTCCTGGGTGAAGTAAAAACTTCATCCCCTCTCTCTCTTAGGACTTTTTAGTTTGCCATCCTCAAATCAGAAAAGGCAGCAAAGGGGCAGCACTGCTTCTTAAAGACTCTGCTTTTTATGAAATTTTCTTCAATAATCCTACTCCAGTCTTCTACTGCATTATTTGAATCATAAAATAAGTAAAAATTGTACTCAAATGAAATTTGAAAATTATCTTAATGAAGCTCTGGAAACATCTCAAACCTCAGAAGGTATTTTTTCCTTAGTTTATTTTTTTAATTATAGAAAGTAGGTCAATAGAAATACCCCCCTTTAATTGGTTTAATTAGGAATCGAAAATTATAGGAGTAACTCAGTTTGAAGTGTATATTGAAATAAGAATTACACTGGGATTAATATCATTTTAGGTTTTGAATTTAAATAAGATGCATTTAATTGTAGCTTGTAATTTATTCTTGAAAAGGTTTTAATAGAGAGGAGGCCTAAGTGTTGGAATAGAGCAGTACATAGGAAAAAAATCTGCCATTAAAGATTTGACAAGGAAATTGCTTTACAACCATAATTCTCAAATGGTATGTTTAAGAATTTATTCTACAGGACCTTGATAGATAGGGCTTAGAGGAGAGGGAAACTATTCAGTGACCAAGTAAGTTTGAGAAATATTAAGTTAAACAAATTTAAGAAATTGCCTGCAGGACTCTTCAGAGCCTTTAATACTGAGGATTTTTTTTTTTTTTTCAGTTATAGTGATGATGCCTTTTACATATGTTGCTTATTCCCCATTCTGTACCTCATGATGTTTTCTCAGTATAGACTATGAAGGTATTACAACCAACTGTCTGCTCAGTACCTTCCTTCTGTTAATTCAAGTGTGGTTTTTATACATGACTATATGTCAGAAATACCTGGGAACTTTTTTAAAAGTTATTAAGATTCCTGAGCCCTCACTTGGGCTCAGTGAGTAGAAATGCCACTGTGCTCGGGATTCTGTATTTATCACAGACACCCAGGTGATTCTGAGGCAGCCAACACCAGTCTTACAATTGGTGCTTTGGAACTGTTGAACTAAAAGTGGATTGGATATGGGGTGCACTTAGTTTGTGCTCATAGAAAAATGGGCTAACCATCCCATACTGAAGATAAACTGCAGTGCTGAACTTCACTGATCCTATAGGGTGATGTGCTGGCTACTAACGTGAAACAATTGCTATGATCCTTTAAGAAAAGCAGAATGCTTCTAAGGGACCTTTTGGTCACCTTCCTAATAACGAAATACTGTATATAAGATTACCATTTGTTTTTACTCAGTTTGAGTAGCTGCCTTGTGGATGGTATTTTATTCATACTTTAAAAAGAAATAATAGTTTATATATACTCCTAGTGCCATAGAAGATTATATTCTCTCCCATCTTCCTGCTGATAACAGGTGGACATTTAACCGTAAGCAGATTATATCTCATTTATGCTTTGGTCTATGTGAGCGCTGATGGTAGCTTTTCTATTAAAACTGTGTTGTTATACTCTCTGCTTGGTAAAATCTTCTGCTCCTACAAATACAGCTGGAAAGAGACAATATAAATGCTACTGGAGAAAAATAATTACTGTTGGTTTGAGAGGCAACTAGCCTTAACACATCTTGGTTGAATAGTGTTATATTAGCAATAATATATGAAACAGTAGGCACACTCATTCAAAGTAGAAAATATCCCCCATTGTTTTAAAATTATTCTCCAAAGGTTTGCCAATGCAATAAGACATGAAACAAAGAAAGGATGTGAGTATTGAAGATTGGAGATGAAAATCTTCGTTACTTGCAAAAAAAAATTGTATACGTTGAAAACCTGAGAGAAGTTAAAAAATAATGTGTTTAATAAACTGATTAGCTATCCACAAAATCCACAGTTCTTTTGTATACAAACATGGTTGATATATACAGTTTTGTTATTTCAATGTGTTGGTTGGTGAAGTACATAGAGATATTGTTTGCTTTGTCAGGTTAAAGGATCAGGAGAGAGAGCAGAGGCATAAAAACTCAAGAGAGAAAAAAAGTTATAAGGAGGGCTTAACCTTGGTGAGAGAGGGAGATCAATTGAAGTGAATCCTAGAGATGCTGCTGATGGTCTAGAGATCCCTGGCTTCCTTTGGCAGAGCCATGTTGGTGAAGCAAAGGAAGTAAAAGCCAGACCTCAGTGGTTGAAGAAGGAATGTAATGGAAGAGCCAAGACACTTACTTGAGTTTGTAATGGAAAAAAAGAGCAAGAGATTGAGAATTTGTTGTTGCTGCTGTTTTGTCATTTTGTTTGTTTATTTATGGAACCCTTCGTTATCTCCCATGTGAGCTTGGAAACTTCCCAAAGGCAGGCTCTCTGTTTCTGTGAGCTCTGTAGCACATAGTACTGCCTTGAATGTATGAGGCACTCCCTGGCTTTATGTTTAGTTCATGACTGTGAATGAAAGTTTGAAAACAGTTGATAGTGGGCAAAATACAGAATAAATTTCAGTGAATTCTCCTTTATTAAAACAGGCAACCCTAGCTCTGAGACGTGCTGACCCTGTGCCAACAAGAGCAGTTGTGCTGCTCATCACCCTGTCTCTCTCACCAGTCTCGCTGCCTTTATTTATGGCTGGGTTTGGGGCTTTTTTTTACAGCTATGAACCCTACGTAGGGGAACATCCTGCTGCTTCTCCTGTAGGGCGAGTGATGAGGAGCGGAGTCTGGCTTTGGAGTGCTCGGAACCAGAGGAATTGCCGAGGACTCAGAGCCCAGCCCTGACCACTCGAGAGCCCACAACACAATGAACAAATTGAACTTCCATAACAATAGAGTCATGCAAGACCGCCGGAGTGTGTGTATTTTCCTTCCCAATGATGAATCTCTGAACATCATCATAAATGTAAGTAGGTACAACTTGAGAAATGTTGGAATATTCTGTTCTCAGCAGTGACCACATTCAAGTTATTACCTGGTGAAGGGTGAAAGCCTTACAGAATGAGACCATGAGTAATGTAGCAGAATTGGGGTGTTTTAAAGTTGTCTACACAAGTATAAACTTTGAATTATGCCTTAAGTGCAGCTGCCTTCAACTTTCCTTCCCTGGTGGTAAAATTACAGAATTTTGGTTACCATATTACAGAAAACTAACACTTTGCTATTTTTTAACTTTTTACTGAAATATAAATTTTTATTAATATATAATATGAATTTGCTTTTTAAATGCTTTTGAGTTGTCACACACATGAAATGGTAATAATTGCTAGCCTCTTACTATGCATCTTGATCATTAATAGTAGCCTGAGTCTAGCCAATTTCAAGAATAGGCTGTGCACTTGAGCACTAAGCTGTGGCTTTTGGTTCTTTGAGTCAGAGTTAACTGGGTCTTAGTCATCCGGACATTGAGGAATATGGTACTATTTTTCTTAACTTCTAAAATTGAGTTATAATCTACATATAGCAAAGTGTAGGAATCTTAAGTGTGCAGCTCAGAGAATTTTTACAAGTGTATATACCTGTGTAATCATCATCCAGCTTGAGATATGCTATATTTTCAGCACCATGGAAAGATCTGTTGTGACTCCGCCTAGACAGTAATCTCCACCCAAAGAGGGGTAGTCACTGTTTCCTCCTATATAATTTGTTTCTGAACTTCACACAGCTGAAATTATGTGGTGTGTTCTCTTTTGTATCTGGCTTCTTTCAGTCAACATTTGGCCTGTGAAATTCATTTATTGCTATTACATGTAACACTAATTCCTTTTCATTGTTGTGTAATATTCCGTTGTGTACAATTTGTTTATCCATTCACTTTTGATGGATATTAGGTTGTTGTAAGTATTGGACTATTATGAACAAAACTATTTTGAGCATTTTATGTGTATACCCATGTGTATACATTTGTGGGGTTTATTCAAGAGTGGAGTTGGGAATCATAAAGTATATCTGTGTTTAGCTTTGGTAGAGACTGCCAAACAGGTTTATGGTAATCAGAATCATGCCTGGCATTTTTCAACCCCTCTCCCTATTACCAACTTTCATATTCTTCCTCTCACTGATTGTATTCAGATGGAATTAGGGAGAAACTTGCCTTAGTGCATGCCTTGAATTGGGTTTTTTTGCTGTATGCTACTGTATTTTTAACCCAACTGCTATATAAAAGAATATTTCTAAATATTATACTGAGTATATATGACATTTAAGTAGCGTCATTAAAAAATTTAGACAGGAAAAGGTTCTGCTTATTACCATAGTTATTTTGGTTTTATTCTGACAATCACCACAGTTTCAGTTTCTTGATTTACTAATGTAACCTCATTTTTGCTCATAGGGATTGTCTGAGCATCAAACTTACCTCTTGGATGAATTTTATCATCTGTTGGGCAGAATTTCTTTTGATTAACAAATTGTTATTCAGGGTACCCAAAGTTGTTTTTGAATATATGAACTGATAGGCTATTATTTTTTACATTTCGTTTTTAAAAATCTAATAAAACTCAGCAGCTTATCTTTTTCAGTGTGGTCATGGGCAAAATACATTAAAATGTAATTCTACTTATATAGGTGAATATGCTATTTCAGTTGTTATATACAGTTATTTTATAAAAAGATACCCACTGAATTTTTTAAAAAAATCAAAATCAAGACATACAGCCTAAGCACTTTAAGAAACTTCTCTCAGTTCCATTTATGTATTTAAACATAATCCACTGGTTGGATTGTATATCTGTGTGTTCATGTGTGCACTTATGCACACATACAAGATATGGAACAAAACCTTCCTGACCTCAGATAAGTGGAAGGAAGGACTAATCTGTCTTCATGAGGAACACTAAGAGCTGACGACAATTTTCAAAGGAATTAATTTGTACTAAAATCTCAGCTAAGGAAGATGATTAGGAATAACACCTCTGCTACAACCATACTATGTGATTGTGAGAATTGAGGATTAGCACACAGCGTCATTCCTGACACATAACATGGTAGCTGCTATTATTACTTTAATTCCTCATCAGAAATTAATTTTACATGTCTTATTTTGCAAAATTAGTGTAATATCCCCACAGGATGGTCAGGACTATGATCATGGATTGTATAGCCATATATCATCATGATTAAGGAGGGTTTAGAGTCACAGGGACCTCACTTGAAATCCCTACTCCTCGACGTACTCTGTAGCCTTGGGCAAGTTAGGTTTGTTTTTTTTGCTTCCGTTTCCTCATCTATAAAGTAGAGATAATCTTCCTCTCCTCATTAGGGTCATTGTGAGGATTTAAAGATAAAACATGAGTAAACTGCTAATTGTAGTGCCTGGCAGCTGGGAATTGCTTGGTAAGTGAGCACTTAATAGAGTAACACTTGTTTTAATTTCTTTGACCTTTTTGTTCATTTCATTAGGGAGCTCTGTTAATGAAGCTCAAATGGAGAATCTGAACTCCCTCTAGGCCTATGAGATTTTCTTATTCCAGGGCACATAGACTCCCCTGCCATGTCCAGACTCCTCTCTAGCAAGCTGTTGAACAAAGGAGGGAGGAGGGACTGAGTTAAGTAGTATGGAGGCCCCTCATTGCTAGAAAACCGATTCAGGGCTGCCAAAGGTCTTTTTTCTACAGTGTTACCTTTGTATTCATAAAATTGCAATTGATGTTTGTAGTGTTGTAGTCTAACAAATTAACGGTAGCAAAAACAGTTTTATTAATGGTCTCATTTTTTCATCATTTCTAAATATTTTTTAAACAAAGATAGTTTATTCCTTGACGTGTAGTTGATATGATAGAATGTCGTCTTTCTGCATGTGGGGTAAACTTAGTGTTTTGATCATCCTCGTTTCTCCATAAGTTTGAACTAGTAGGGGATGTTTTAAATGATTTTAATCATCAGGTAAATATTAAATATGGAAACTTGGTAAATTTTGACAATAAAATTATGGTAAATGTACACAAAACTTTTGAGTAATATAAATAGTGGCCAAGAGTTTATACCTGTTCACTAAGACCAAAGTGAACAATTCTTTTTTTTGGAATATATTTTAAGCACACTTACTCAAAAACAATGACATTTATTTATTTATTTTAAAGATTTATTTATTTATTTTAGAGAGGGCATGAGCAGGGTGAGGGGCCGAAGGAGAGGGAGAGAATCTCAATCAGGCTTCCCACTGAGTGGAGCCTGACACAGGACTCGAACTCAGGACCCGGGATCATGATGTGAGCTGAAACCAAAAGTCGGACACTGAACCGACTGAGCCACCCAGGCGCCCCAACCATTGACATTTAGGATCAAATGATGTTTTTATTAGAAAGTTCCATATGGGGTATATTTTTAGATAATACTTTAATTCTTAATACCACATACTCTATAGCACTTTTTAAAGCTCCATTGCTCCTGAAGATTAAAGAACTTGAAAAATTTCACAATTAGCTAAAATGTAGCCTTAAAGACTCATAATATGCAAATACAAATAACTCAAGCTTGTTTTCACAGCAGGTTAAGACTTCAGAGCCACAGCCTTACTTAATTACGGTTTTATTTTTTATTTATGTTTTTAAAGGCAGCTTCTTTTTTTTTTTTTAAGATTTTATTTATTTATTTGACAGAGCACGCGCACACACAAGCAGGGGGAGGGGCAGAGGGAGAAGCAGACCCCCTGCTGAGCAGGGAGCCCTTAATTACAGTTTTAAACAAGAACACTGCTTACTTGATAGTTGTTACAGAGTTTTATCAGTAGGCTCCAAATATTTGATTTAAACTAGCAGAACGATAATAAGTATGGAGGAAATGTACAGCATTATATGATTAGCAGTTAGACAAAGTTACAACATGCTTTGCTTTATATATAGTTTGTGGTTTGGAATTTTTCTGTTAAGTTTTTATCACATTTTATCCCAAGAGCTTTGTTTATGACATTTAAAAATACAGTCAAAACTAAGGATTAAAGGTGCTGTAGCTGGTATGACATTTTAAGTCTCAAATTTGTAGTATATTAGCATATTAGGCCATCAAGAAGAAAACCTTCCTTGTAAAGATAGTTGCCTAATTCAGGCTTTTGGTAATCTGAGTAGCCTGTTTTGGATATCTTCTGAAATATTTATCATGCACCATGGTTTTAAAATAAGGCCTTGTTCATGTATTATAAGATTTATGAGTCTTGTACAAGATAGTATTGGTACCTTATTACCATTTCGTAAACATTTATATTGTGATAATCATTATTGAAACACAGCACAGATTAAAGCAATTTCCATGAACCAACAGTTGTTTTGCTAGTGTTGCTTGTCATTTTAAGGCGTATATTTAGGGTGCATTAAATTGCTTGTTTGTGCGGGTGCCTGAGTGGCTCAGTCAGTTAAGCGTCTGACTCTTCGTTTCCGCTAGGGTCATGATCTCAGGGTCATGGGATCGAGCCCTGTGTCACACTCCCGAGTTCAGCGTGGAGTCTGCTGGAGATTCTTTCCCCATCCCTCTCCCTCCCACTCTGCTACTCCCCCCACTTGCATATTCGATCTCTTTAAAATAAATAAAATCTTTTGAAAATTAAAAAAAATAAATTGCCTGGTTGTGCCTCAGCGTGTGGGCTTGGTGTATTTGCTATCACAAGTTGTGTTGTTTTGTTTTTTTTCTCTACAGGTTAAAATTCTGTGTCACCAGTTGCTGGTCCAGGTGTGTGACCTACTCAGGCTAAAGGACTGTCACCTGTTTGGACTCAGTGTTATACAAAGTAGGTGTTAGTTCCATCTCTGATAGATTTAGCCAGCTATCCCTGAGGAAATGATATTTTATAGCTGTAACTTAATTTGGGCAAATTGTGATAAGATTGTGATTATCAAAATACCCATAAGTTGGTCATTATTTTTAGTCTAGTATTCATTTTTTAATCTTAACTGTTGTGTATTTCTTTTAAGATTTAGAATTTTAGGCCACGTATTATAGTTTGAACTTAAAAATGGGTTGCTTTTTAGGAATCTAGATTTTGTGTTTGTTCTTTTCTGTCTTAATGAACCAAGCTTGGTTTTTGTTTCCTTGCACTCAGGGAGCAGCTGGAGCTAGGAGGAAATTATCTTGAATGTCTTTATAATTTCTTTTATAATTTTTGACATTAAAAAATTTAGGCATAAGAAAAATAACTGTTCAAGTTCTCTTACTGTTGACTATATAGTATAACAAAGTGATCTACTAATTTGCTCCCATTTTCTGTTTTTCCCTCTGCACACCTTCTCTTTTTTCCAATTAGACTGTATGACATGAAGATAAGGGATCAGTTCCTCTGTATATTTTATGTGAAGGTTTTCTGCACATAAAGGGCTCAGTATAAGTCTCTTCCCCACCTCACCTCCATAATATCTTAGAGTTAAGTTACTAGGATTTACCTGCAACCATTCCTTATAAGCTTTTTCTTTCACATCATGTTTTTAAATTTCTCTAGTCTTATGTCAAAAGATCTTTTATATCTGTTCAGTTTTTCAGGAATACTTTTTTTGTGAAATGTATTTATTTATATTTTATACTTCTTTATGGATCATATTCTACTACTGGAATTGGTTTAAATTTAAAGGCTTACGACATCTTGAGAATCTGGTTAGTACCATAAAATGCTTAGATCTGCCAGGTTGGAAGGTATATCATGATGAGCTGATAAACAAGGCCCTTCTCCACCAAAATGTGAACCATTTTCAGTTATCTTCTTAGGAGAGGCCAGAAAGCACGGAGCAGGGAGCACCTCAAGAATCAGTGGATCAACCATTTGCTCTTCAGTCTCTTCCTGTAATAGTTAAAGCAGTAAAAACACAAATGCTTTGCTCCATCCTTCTATCAGTGCATCCCTCAGTCATTCTTTCAAGGAAGGGTCGGGGAGAAATAAATGCCCTATAGATTCTAAAATTCTAAAAAATTCTAAAAAATTTTTCTTTTATTCTAAACATAAAGTTAATTCTTTTAATTCTACAACTACAGCCAGACTGTTGATCTGTGTTGTTCAACAAGTCAGTCTCATAAAACCAGTTTACAGCTTCCTTAAATTTCAAAATGAGAGTTTTTAAGATACCTTTTTTAAAAGAGAGATTGTAGTGTGGTGAAAGAACATTGGAAAAGGAATCAGATGACCCACTTCTAATTCTGGTTCTACCACCAGCTAGCTGTGTGGCTTTAGAAATATCACTTGACTTCTCTCGATTTCATTTTTCTCACATGTCAACTGGAAATTACTGCTTCACCTGCTTTGTCAGATTTTGATACATGCTTTTGAATTCTTAAAATATAAAGCCACGATCAAACTGTCAGATAGTAGAGATATGGTGGTAGTTTAAAAATATGTGCTATTACACAGTGAACAGTCTCAGTTCTGTTTATTATATGGCTTCCTCAGATGGCAACTCAAGCCAAACACAAATCATATTCAACAGGAAGGGTGTGTGGTCTTGTTCATTTCATGTTAATTGGCAGCATATGAGAGATGGGAGATAATTTAGTTGATCTGATAAGTAGATTTAAGTAGTACCCTTTTTTTGTCCCTGGGACCTCTTCCCTATCCCTTTTCAAATTGGTTGGCTTAATATGTCATTTATAAACAGAGTAGCTCTACCCTTCCTATTCTCTTATTGCTCTTTTTCAATCAACCCCCCCCCCCGCCAGCATTAAGTCAGGAGTGACAGTGTGGTCAGGCATGTTACCCTGGGAGTAGTCAGAGAGACACACTCCCCTTCCAGAGTGAGTACATTTTTATGCAGAGCTTTCCACGAGCATACTCCCTTAGTGATGGTTAGAGAAAAAGGAATAAACTTTAAAAAAAAAAAAAGGCTTAAAACTTTGGGGGCACCTAGGTGGCTTAGTCAATTAAGCCACTGACTCTTAGTTTCGGCTCAGGTCATGATCTCATGTTTGTGGGATTGAGCCCTGTGTTGGACTGCTGCACACTCAGCAGGGTGTCTGCTTCAGATTCTCTCTCCCACCCTCCCCTTTCTGCCCGTCCGACCCCCCCCCCCGCTTACGCACCCTTGTGCTCTCTCTCTAAAATAAATGAATGAAATCTTTAATAAAGAAGAAGACTTAAAACTTAGTGTGAAATATCTCTCTTTTAAAAGATTCTCTTCGGGAAATCTGAAAATTTAATATTTTTTTACCAGCTTGTCTTCACATGTTTAGATAATTTTTACATGGGTTTTAACAATCATAGTTTCTGCTCATCTTAAGAACATCATCCCTTTGATGAAACACTGGCATTCTTTTGTTGCGTGAGATTCTTCTCCTCATTCCACAGGATCAGTCCCAAATGCAGTGAGAGTAATGGCTTGCTATTTTATCAGGCTGTGTTATATGTGGAGAACACAGAGAAGAAATAGTCTTAAAGGCCATTGTTCACAGAGCATAGGTCAGGTGCCTCACTTGAAAATAGGCAGTTATCCTCAATGTCCCCTAATGTCTTACATAGCAGTTAGGATGCTGTTTCTTCTGTTTCATTATTCTGCACCTATGATGAGAGTTCTCTGTGAGCTCAAGAAAAGCATGTTTCTTCTAAGAGCAAGGAAGCCCACAGTGTTGGAAGTTTGTGCATTAGGATGACCATAGAAACTAAGTAAAAACAGGAGGTGGAAGCTTAATATTTTTTCTAAATATTACAGATTTTTAATAGTATGTGTTCTGTATTGCAAATGCAAAATAATTCATAAAAAGTCTCATTAATGTCTAGCCAGCCTTTTGTCTTTTAGTATCTTGTTGAGTTTTTGTGGTACTTTGTGAATTCAGAACACATTCACAAATCTTGAGGCTTTTTTAAAAAACCTGTTTTTGTGTATATTCTTTTCTTTTAAATCTTTTCTTATCATCTTGTCTCCTTTTCTTAATGTGCAGATAATGAACATGTCTATATGGAGTTGTCACAAAAGCTGTATAAATATTGTCCAAAAGAATGGAAGAAAGAAGCCAGCAAGGTACGACAATACGAAGTCACTTGGGTGAGATTACATTTATAAGCAAAATTATTTTGATTTTTTAAAAGGTTTATTTTAGCTATTATACATTAGAAAAATATTAAATTTTAAAATTTTAATTCACAAAAATACGAAGTAGAGCATGGGAAAGGGAAATGAATTATAAGTTCCAAAATGCCATGTTGATGAAGTGTTAATAGTTTATTGCATATAACAGTAGATTTTAGGTATCTGCTTAAATAGGGGTACCTGGGTGGCTCAGTCGGTTGGTGTATGTCTTAGGCTCAGGTCTTGATCCCAGGGTCCAGGGAGCAGGGAGCCTGCTTCTCCCTCTGCCTGCCACTCCCTCTGCTTGTGCTCTCACTCTGTCAAATAAATAAATAAAATCTTAAAAAAAAAAAAAGATAATCTGCTTAAATAATGTTTGATAATAACTTTTTAGTAATTTGGGGATAATGCTTTGAAATGAAAACCATGGAAAAAATATTCCTTTTGTGGTTATATTAGCTGTCAAAACTGATGTTCTAGAAGTTATTAGTAATTTTTGAATCTACTTTTACTATACTTACCTTTGATACTTTGTTACTTTATTGTACTGGTGGTGCTTTTATTTAGTAAACATTAATTCCATTTACATGGGAGATCATTCACAGGGAATTTACCTAGTGTTTCCAGGATCACCCTAGTAAATCAGGAATAAATCCCTAGTGTCTAATCCTAGATCCTCCAGTTTGTGTTTTAAGAATTCTTGGAATAAACGGGAAGCCTACTTGAAAGCCAACTACAAAGTAAGGCACATTAAAGTCTAAATAAACAAACAGCATATTAGAATTTGGTATGTGGAATGTCAGAGGAACAAGAGAACATTTGTAATGAGGAGCAAATGGTCACCACAGGGGATAGAGCTGAGAGAGGAGCTGGATCTCAACTAGAAATTTCCACTGGTATTTATTTTTATCTTCCCTTATGTTGTCATTGGCCTTACAGTGAATGAGTATATGCTGATGCTTTATAACTTCCCAATTTTGCATGAACTTGGTATCTATATGGGACAGTTGTCTGCCCTCTGCCAGTAACCACCGCCCCCCCCAATTAGAAATAGATAAAACCTTTCAAGATTTAAAAACTATCTTGTAAATAATGGTATTTTGTTCCTTTTGAAACCCCTTTTTGTAGTAACTAAAAATAGCTTGCTTTTTATATGTGTCTTTGTTTTAGGGTATTGACCAATTTGGACCTCCTATGATCATTCACTTCCGCGTGCAGTACTATGTGGAAAATGGCAGATTGATCAGGTATGAGAACAGGGATTCTAAACTTTTACTTTCCCGTAGCACTCACCTTCTAACATAACAAATAAAGTCTTCATGTTTGTTTGTTTCCACCTGCTATGATATAAATTCCAAAAGAACAAGGATTTAAAAAAAAAAAAAAAATCTTTTTGTATGCTCATGTATCCTCAGTTCCTAGAACACAGAGGTTCAATAGACACTCAATAAATATTTGTTGAATGAATGAATGATAATGTTAGACTATTAATGAAAATGTTAACAATATCACTGCCTCTCATTTTCTATACTCCACGTTTTTGATAACAAATCAGTCAACAAAAAGGTGTTTCATTCAAGAAGGAACTAGCATTTTTGTGAAGAATAGAGAAACTAAAGGATTATATTCTTTGGTAGGGTGGGGAGTAGTAGGGCAAGCAAGCAAGAACTCTCTCCTATAAAAATGCATGGTGTTTATACAGCCTGGTTTTCTTTCACCTTCGGGGTCATGCTTCTGTTCTTGGCAGTAGTTTTAAAGCTGAGATTACACCCAATGGAGCTATCCTGTGAGAATCTTAGATGGAGTTTGGCAAGGGCAGGTAATTGATTCTTTTTCTGGAGGTTGGTGCATGAACAATACTATGCTCGTGATACAAACTCAGAATTTGCCATCTCAGAAGCTAAGTTTATCATTTGTATAGGAGGATTCAGTGCCAGGAAACTTTCAGAGGTGGTTTTGTTGGCTGATAGAGAAAATGGTGAACTCTCTTTTACTTATTTACTTTTAAACTCTGAGAAACCCCATGTAAAAGAGACAAAGATACATTTGGCTAATGAGTTATATGTGAGGTTCGCTCTTAATACTTGTATTTTTGCCATATGTAATTTTAAAAGTAAAAAATATTAGCGCATAAGTAATTTTTTTTAAAGGCTAAGACACTTTTTTAGTTATTCCGAGTTTATGTAAAATTTTTACTCAATTTACCTACTAAGTATGGAATGTGCTGAAAAGAAGCAAAATATATTATTTAGCCACTAATTAAACCCCTGGGACTAATGAATGTTTCATTCATCCATGTACTTCTTTTCCCCAGGGATGAACTAGTCCAAACACTGTGTGGTCAGCATTATAAAAAGAAGTGCTCTGAAAAATATTCTGTCCCGAGGGGGAAAAAATTACATAAATGCCTCATTTTTAAACTCTTCATACTTAAACACCATCTTAGTAGAAATCAACTCATGTTTTTATTGTCATCAGCTAATAAGCTATGAATTTCAGATAAACATTCGATCTAAAATAATAGGAAGGCAAATAAATTCCTTAAACACACACACACACACACACACACACACACACACACACCCTTTTTTTTTCTTGCATTTTTACTTTGATCACAAAGGCGTCTCATTTGCCTGGACATTTTTTGGAGCTTGACCATGTTTTCCCCCAGTCAGCACTTCTTATTCAACGTATTTAATGAGAACTATATTTATTTCTGACCTCAACAGATTGTAATGAGTGCATTATTAGTATTTCCATTTGTGAGGAGTATCATGATTGTCATAACATGTGCATATAAAACCGCACCCATAAAGTAACATCCACTTAAAAAGAGAGAGAGACTTAAGGCAAGCTTTTTTATTTAGTTCATTCATTCTGAGAAAGAAAAAAACAAAACAAAACTCTATAGTTAAATTTTTTTTTAAATGGACATATAAACAGAAATATTTTTTAAAGGGCCTTAGAGTATTTGTAAACAAACCAAAACAGAACGGCAAAACACGAGAGCCGGGATTGTCGCCTCAGATTTGTCCTTGTTTATGGTGTACATGCAGCATTATTGCAGCAAAATAATTTTAATGCAGACAACAAATGCCTAGGCTTCTATACTAATCCTTGTTCAATGTAAGGTTTACCACATTGCTGTGGAATGATTCAGACCTTGTTTCCATTCACTGAATGAATCAAATGGTATAGGCCTCAGGAAATGGTAAGTTTGCTGTTGGGTAGTCTGACTTGGAGTTCTGCCTCCCTGTGACCTGGGCGAGGCAGCAATCAGGTATTAGATACAACCCTCCCCACTTTTCTCCAAGGAGTTGGGGCGGGGAGGGAGGAAGAAGGAGCAGAAACAGAAGAGCTCTTGTCAGCAGATGGATAGCAGGATTTGGGTTCTGTTTACATGCCATCGGATTGTCCCATCAAATGTGAGTTCGGTTTTCTTTTCTTTTCCTAGTGACAGAGTGGCAAGATACTATTATTACTGGCACCTGAGAAAACAAGTGCTTCATTCTCAGTGTGTGCTCCGAGAAGAGGCCTATTTCCTGCTGGCCGCCTTTGCCCTGCAGGCTGATCTTGGGAACTTCAAAAGGAATAAGCACTATGGAAAGTACTTTGAGCCAGAGGCTTACTTCCCATCCTGGGTAGGCACTGTTTTCAAATTTTAAAGTGTTTTCTCTAGCACATTTCTGGTTCATTATGCTGCTACTCGTGTTGCTTCAAGAAATGGGAACCCAGATGTTTGTGGCCAGTAAAACCTTTCATGATGCCCAAATACAAATTTAACACTTGAGAGCTCTGTACACATGGATCTCTTGATATATTTGATCTGGTCCTTCTAGTTAATGGGGAAGAGGATTGCTGTCCGTCCTAAATATGGTGCAACTTGGAAGTTGCCAGCCTTGTTTTGGCATTTGCATTGTCTTTACTTTCTTCTATGTTAGTCAAGCTTCATTTTCTTTCCTTTGGAGGGAGAAAAAACATGACTCTTTAAAAAGTGAGATCATTGACAACTTTTCCTGTGTTGAGAAAACAAATATAAGTAAACTCCTTGCTCTGACCTCCATCTCCTCCTCTCCCAAGGGAGAAACCACGCCATGACGTCAGCAAGAAAATGTAGGTTATTCCAGCATGAACTGTCTCAGCTGCCCTTTCTCCACACAACCCTGCCCCTGTCTGTGCCCACCCTTCCTCCAGGTCTCTGCTGTCACTTGTCTCTCTCCCACATCTCCACATCGCGAGCCTCTACTCTAACTTCTTCAGTCAGAACAGACAAAGCACATTTGGCTTGCCCCACTCATCCTCAGGAAGAAAGGAAAAAGGGAAAGAAGAGCTCCCGCTCTCGCCATCCCTTCTCAGTAAAGCCTCTTGAAAAAATAATGTATATTTGATTTTTTACCTTCTTTATTTCCCAAATGAACCCCTCAGCATGCTTCCATCTTGCCTTCCTTGCCTACCACTCCACTCGTGGCACTTCCCCTAAGCTCACTGGGATTGCCAGGTCCAGTGGACACTTTCTGCTGCTTTTCTCGGCTGCATCTGACACGTAACCGCTCTCATCCTGGAGAGCTCATCCAAGTGAACGCTTTTTGACAACCACTTACGTGCTGGCAACTCCCCAATCTGTTTCTCTCCCCCTTGACCATTAGATAGCTGTTTACCCATAGGCACCTCCAACTCAGGATGCCCCAAATCAAATTCACCTTTTCCCCACCTCCATTCTGTGTACTCCTTCCGCTGTGTTCCTGTCTCAGCTAGTGGCGCTGCCATCCCCTCAGTCACCCAGATGCTTGAGAGTCGTGCAGATCTCTCCCCATCACCCTTCTTTTTCTCTGCCCTATCCAGGCAACTGGAGCATCCTCTAACATAAAACACTTGATCACCCATCACCCAGCTTAAGAAATAAAATTCTCTTGAACTTTTGCTGTGGTTGACTCGCTAGATGTTTATCGTGTGCCGGACCCATCATCCCATCTCCCAGGTTTCAGCTCTTGCCAGGGCTCAGCAGCACTCCTGTGGGGCTTATCTTCGCTTCAGTCTTTACAGCTTGCAGATGAGTTGATTTTGCTTCTGACTTAAACCTTCAGGGCCTCCCCTCTCACCTGCAGAGTGAAAGCCAGGCTCTCAAACATGACCGAGGAACTTCCCAGGATCTGATCTCTGCCAGTCTTTCCAGCTTCCTCTCTGGTTGTCCTGCACCTTGAATTTGATTCTCTGACAATATCCAGCAATTCCTGTGTCTCCACACGTCCTGTGGTGTTTCACACTTCTGGCCTTCCTTCTGAAGTTCCTTTAGCCAGTGAAACCCCTCTCCTTGTTTGACCTGGCAGACTCCTGTTCATCCTCCAAGACTGCTCAGCTGTAGTTCTCTCTGGGCAGACTGTCTAGCCCCCGCCTCTGGGCTCTGTCAGACCCTCGACATAGTGTTTTACATCTCCTTTTCAAATGATCTGTTTATCTTTTGCCTCCAGTAAACTGTTTTTTTAGTATATTCTAAAGGACAGGCACAAACGTCACCTTTTCCGTTTCTTCAGCATTTCACATTGAGGTGCTCCACCAAGTTTTTGTGGACTGATTGTCAGTGCTTCAGTTGTTAAAGAGAAACCACAGAAGGTGTCAAGCTTTTACATATCAGTGTCGGTGGAACCCAAATTAGCCCGTATTTCATTCCCTGGTTGTTGTCAGGTACTCACTGAACCTTGGTCCTTTAAATCCGAGCTCCCCGCCAGGGTGCCACAGCCTCCAGAGTGCTGAGATCCGAGTTTCTTCAGTGTTTGGGATCACCAAAGCCACCTACTTCAGTGCCCTTACAAATACTATTTTCTGTGTGCTCTTTGACCTGCGGAAGTTTGACAGTTGCTCACTTAGGTGATCTCCATGTAAAAGGAGTCTAGAAGGAAAAATCTAACTTTGAGTTCTCAGCAGAATGTCTTTTTTTTTCTTTTAAAGATTTTATTTATTTATTTGAGAGAGAGAGAATGAGAGATAGACAGCATGAGAGGGAAGAGGGTCAGAGGGAGAAGCAGACTCCCTGCTGAGCAGGGAGCCCGATGTGGGACTCGATCCCGGGACTCCAGGATCATGACCTGAGCCGAAGGCAGTCACCTAACCAACTGAGCCACCCAGGCGCCCTCAGCAGAACATCTTAAATGGCCTGTAATTGATCACGTTTCCTTCAGTAGGAAGAAACACAATGTCAGTATCTATAAAAACATTTTTAAACTAAAAATTCTTTAATTTTTTTTATTCTGATGATTTTAAGCACTATTCTTTTTGCTCTCCTTGCATAATTCTTTCCTTATTTTATAATCCTCATGAAATCAGCTGAGACTTTGAACTAATCAGCACCTTTCTCTTAGCCTGCAGCTAGCTGCTGGCTACTATATATTTTGGGCATTGAAAGGCTTAGGCTACTGTCTCATGAAAACCTGAGCCACGGTGAATTGCAATAAATGCTTGAATGAAATTGTTTTCTCACAAGTATTCAAATAGAGTGTTCATATCAGCCTTTTATGTAAAAACCAAAAATGTTTCAGAGAATTCCTCCCAGTCCCCTGCCTTCTTTGGATTAACATTTAGAACCTCCCACTCTGTGGCTGTAATTTTAGAAGAGTTAAGTAGGATCCAGAACCTGAAGATGTGTTGACAGTCAGTGTATTGCATGGTACCAATCATTTTGCAAGTATAAACAGTGATGTGTACAAAATTTTGCAAGTTCGCATGGTGTTTTTTTTTTTTTTCCCTTGGTGAGTTTAAAGCCAAGAGAACATATTTTTCTCATTTCTTGTGATTTTTCTTCTCACATATGCAGTACTACAGCTAAATTGATTTTGTAGCTTATAGTATTAGCTGATTCAGCCTAGTAACATACCAGATGGTGAAAACGGAATAAAAGTGGGAAATTTCCTACTGGAAATTAGCCAGTTTATGTGGCCTCTTTCAGGCTCTTGTCCTTTCATCATTTTGGGGATGAGGGTAGAACTTCCATCCCTCCAACAAATGTTGCATTGCATACCCATTGTGTCCCAACAGGTTGTTTCCAAGAGAGGGAAGGACTACATCCTGAAGCACATTCCAAACATGCACAAAGATCAGTTTGCACTGACAGCTTCCGAGGCTCATCTTAAATACATCAAAGAGGCTGTCCGGCTGGATGATGTTGCCGTGCATTACTACAGATTGTATAAGGTACAAAACTGTAGTGTGTCTGCAGCTTCTGAGGAAAAAATACCTTCTCGATTACAAGAAGCTTTTATTAAAATTTGTCATTTCATTTTTTAATGGGATTTTTATTTTTAATTTTTTTTTTAAGATCTTTTTGAGAGAGGGAGAGAGCGCACAGGTGCACAGGCGGGGTGTGGAGGGGCAGAGGGAGAGGGGGAGAGAGAATCCTGAACAGATTCCACACTGAGCGTGGAGCCCTACACGGGGCTCAGTTTCATGACCCTGAGATCACAGCCTCAGCTGAAACCAAGAGTTGGACACTTAAGTGACTGTGCCACCCAGGTGCCCCATTAAAGGGCTTTAAAAAAAGAAAAAAAAAAGATTCATGTGAACTGTTATCATAGGTTAGTCTTGGAGTTGTTGATGCTTTTCCTCAGGCCTGGGAACACAATGGAATCTTTCTGTAATGGTTCTAATAATGAGATAACAAGTGGCTTCAGATTATGAATCTAGCTTTTCAGTGATTATAAAATAGTTATTTTTCTCTTTTCCAAATCTGCATGTCTGTCTTGGGGACTAACATTTGCAATTTGTTTGATCAGTAATTTTTAATATTCCTCAAAGTGAAGCCATACGTGCATTGTATCCATTAATAAGAAGAACCACCACAACAGCTAATGATTATTGAGTATTATTTCTATGGGGCACACTTGATTTTCTTTTTTAAATTCTCACAATTCTGTAAGATAGAAACTGTGATATTCATTTTACAGATGAGAAAACAGACCAAAGAGCATGAAACTAGCAAGTGGCAGAGCCAGGATTCAACCCAGGTCTGCCTGACTAGAGGTTTATGAATAAAAAGTGTTTAAAACAGTGCCCAGCACACGTTAGGCATGATGTTCGGCTGTTAGCATTATCCCTGTTACTGTTATGCTCCTTATTAGTACAATACCCTTTGTGGTAAGATTAACATAACTGGACCATTGGAGGCTGGACTATAGTTTGGCTTTGTTACTGGGAAATCTTCCTGGCTGGTTCAGAAAACTTAATAAGGTGCCAAAGAATGGTATTTTTTTTTTTCTCACTTCCATGCCCAAGAGATGCATCGTTAATGGCCTGTCGTCCTTGAGAGGCATACTTGAGTTCCATAGGAGCTCTTTGGCCAAATTCCTGAAGGACTGAATTGTTATTTCTTTTTTTCCTTAAGAGATTTCATTTGTGACACCTCAGTTTATATGAGAAAATGCAAGTAAATGACATTTGATGATCGTTTGTATTTTAAAAATGTACTGGAAGCGTGAATGCTGTATAAGAAAGAGTGTGGCTTTAGAGTCAGATATTAGAAACCCTACATCACCACTATTATGGGATCCTGGGCAAATATAACTATAATCCTGGACCATCTATGAAGTGGGAAGGATTCTTTTTTTTTTTTTTTTAAGATTTTATTTATTTGACAGAGCACAAGCAGAGGGAGAGAGAGGGAGAAGCAGGCTCCCTGCTGAGCAAGGAGCCCGATGTGGGACTCGATCCCAGGACCCTGGGATCATGACCCGGGCCGAAGGCAGCCACTTAACCGACTGAGCCACCCAGGCATCCCAGAAGTGGGAAGGATTCTATACAATTCACAAGTTTGGGAAAATTCTGTGAGATGGTGAATCCGAAATGACCAGGTGGAATGTCTGGCACATTAATCAGTGCTCAGTAAATATTAGCTGCTTCTTGTTTGATAGAGAAACAGTATTTTAAAGAATCCTGTTAAGAATCCTTTAGTAAATTATCCCCAGTTTATCTTTCATGTACAAATTAATCTTTTATTTGCTTATAGTGTGGTACTTCTGCATGGCATAGAAAATGACCCTCTTACCTGCTTAAAACAAGATAATAATCATGTAACTGAATGAAGTGAGGAAACAGATATTGGGTGGAGTTTTCATTCTTTACAGAAATAAAGTGGCCATTAAAACATGGGCAGAGTTTTCATTCTTTAGAGAAATCAAGAAGCCATTAAAACTGCTTCATTTAAGACCCGCTTGTAAAGTGGAAATAGAGTAGAGAGAGGACAGGAAACATTCTGGGAAAAGAAACTTCTGAGTCCCTTTCTCAGTAACGCACACCTTGTGCCTGCCCAGCCAGCATTTTTATGAGCACAGTCTTATTTCCGAAAGCAATCAGAGTAGCCTTGAGGAGGAAATTGACCTAAACTCACAGTGATAGATTGGTTTCTCCCATTAAACCTATACTGTATGTGCCTTTCTTGATGTAAAAACATACTGGTTGGAAAAAAACAGCCCAAATAGTGAAAATAGGCCTTGAGGATGCATTTTCTAAACACATATCTTCCCATGTTCGTGGGAAAACTGGCACTAAATATACTCATTTATTTTTGTTGAGGAAACTCATAATGAAAATATTTTAGTTACTTAGTAATTTTATTTATCTTCTGTTTTGAACTTCATACCCTATATCCCGTTATTACAGGTAAGCACTTAAAAGGCGTGGCCCAATTTCAGAGTACATTTAAAATTCAGAGAACATTTCAGGAATTTTTTTTCCCATATGCTCATTGTAATTTATTTTTTTATAGTTTATGGTTTAGCTAGTAGAATGGATATCGTATTATATGCAAATGATGAATCACTGAACTCTGCCTCTGAAACTAATAATACAATATATGTTAATTAATTGAATTTAAGTAAAATAAAGTAAAAAAAAAAGGTATATTGTATTGGCAAGTGATAATTGAATTTCTTAGAAATAAGTATTTTCTTTCCAAACTGAATATAAAGCCTTTCAGCCTTTTATCCTCATGAGATGACAACCTTAAATATTTAGGCTTGCCTATGACTTTGGCTTCAGAGCTGGAGAGTTACACGGTTTGAAACCTATAAAATCTAGTGCATTTCAGAATATAACTATGACATTATATTCAACATTCTAACCTCTGAGAAAAGGTAGAAAGCTAAAAAAAAAAAAAATAAGCAAAAGTAGTCCCGTTTATCAGAGTTTTCAATAATGTAATAATTTAGAATATTGTCAGATATGAGAGTGTATATAATATAGTGAAAATACTAATGCTTTGAAATCTCAGTGGTTTAAAAAGTAGAATATACCATTATTGATTTAATATGTACTCGTGATTTTCTTAAAGCTTATAGTAAAGTAGAGATGCATAAAGATGAGTGAAGTTATTTTAAGTCACAAACTTTCTAATCCTGGGATTTCTCCTTCTGTTTTTCTTCTTTGGTGCTTAATTGTCCATTATACAAGAAAAACATACTTTTTCATATGATTTTATTTCTATAGGATAAAAGGGAAATTGAAGCTTCTCTGACCCTTGGATTGACCATGCGGGGAATACAGATTTTTCAGGTTAGTAAATGAGAAATAAGTGTCAAATGGTATCTACTGTGTCTTAACATTGGCATTGCACCTGCCTGGTCCTTTGATAGGTTCACTGGTTCATTTCTGGCCATTGATTGATCATTACTTCATGTTTGTCCAGTACAGATGTGAATGATGTAGGATAGATGAAGCGATACAGTCCAAACCTCAACAGTAATAAGTCCTGCAGAACAGAAAATAATAAGCCAAAGATTGGCCCAGGTTCATCACTAATAGATCCTTAATATCCAGACATTCTTCTTTGTGGGTATTAATTTTGTTTTTTTTTTTAATTTTATTTTTTTTTAAAGATTTTATTTATTTATTTGACAGAGAGAGACACAGTGAGAGAGGGAACACAAGCAGGGGGAATGGGAGAGGGAGAAGCAGGCTTCCCACCGAGCAGGGAGCCCAATGCGGGGCTCAATCCCAGGACCCTGGGATCATGACCTGAGCCAAAGGCAGACGCTTAACGACTGAGCCACCCAAGTGCCCCATGTGGGTATTAATTTTAAATATTCTCTTTTATCCTCTGGAGCATTATAACTATGCAAAGAAAAAAATGACATTTTAATACAGTGCCAGACCAGACATTTTAATTTCCATTACACTTTTCTGATAAAGTCTGTCCCTTGAATAAGTAATAACTGTCACACTTTTGCAGGCAGGATAGTATTATCCTACAGCCATCAACAGGGGAGAGAGAATGCCTCTTTCTCTGAGACCAAGAAGAATATAAGGATCTCTTATCTTTGGTTTAGGCAAATATCCAGTTATGAAAGTCTAAATGCCTTTTCTCATCTCTTGAATGCCTGAGTCTTGGACTTTTTATTTAAATTTAGGGATAGGCTCAAAGGGAAAAGATTACCTTGAAAGACCAGTTAATGCAGTCACTCAGGAACCCAGAACTACAGTTTGGTATCACTAATCTTTTAATTACTGTCTGAACATCTCCAAAGAGAGTTGAGGACCCCTTTCAGATTTTAATTACCACATTTTAGTTTTCCAGGAGAGAAGTTACAGCCATTGTAGAGTGTCTGGCATTTTCCTCCATAACTCTGTATGCATTATAACTTTTTCCACAGAATTTAGATGAAGAGAAACAGTTACTTTATGATTTCCCCTGGACAAATGTTGGAAAGTTGGTGTTTGTGGTAAGTTTTAAAATAAATGACTAAAGAAAAATAGCGCACTTGTTTGTTCTGTGGATTTTTGTTGTTCCCTCTTTTGTTTTGTTTTTAAAAATAATATTGTCCCAGGCACCAAAGTTGGTATTTTTTTTAAGAAGTTGACAAAGAAGACAACTAGCTTTCTTATATTCTTATTATATGTGTTTTAATCCTTGCCACTCATCAGTAGTGAACCTAAAATTAAAGAATCTTATAGCAAAAAAGATGACTAATTTTAATTTGTGGGTCTGGGCCCCACTGCACTATCCTACGTTACTCTAGTTGCAGAAGAAATGTAGTGGGGGGATGTGTAAGATGAGTTTATCAAACAGAATTATTTTTAAAAGCAAAGGGATCAGAAAACAGCCCATAATCACAGGATAAATTATTCGTAGCATGGGGCTTGGCCAGTTCTTTTGGAAGTTACTTCTTTTGAGCAGAGAATAAAGACTGATAAAACAAGATGTTTCTATTAATGTCTAACTCTTTGAAACTCATCATTATAAAGAAAGGTCTACAGTTCTTAATAGGAAAAATGCTGTTATTTTTAGAATATTGAGAATAGTATCCTTTTTTTATTGTAAGAGCAAATTCATGATTTTCCCCAGCTGTTTCTCTACCTTGCCAGCTATATCTGGGTTTTGGTAGGGTTCAAAGAATTACAGTTAATAATATGTATATCTAGTGGTCATTAAAATCCATATTTTTTTTTCTTTGTTCAGAAATTGTTGGAAAACATGCACAAAGAAAGGAGGAAAATAAGGATTTGTACACATGTGCCTCTCTCCCATAAGGAAGATGGCCTATATAAATAAAGGGCTGTATTGCCAAACAGCATTTGGTCACTGACTCCACACTGCCCTGTGAAGTCAAAAGACCTTTTCCTGACTTTACATTATTTTAATTACTTGGGCACAGTTCAATCTGATTCCACTTTACTGATACATCGAATGGGGCCTGACCTGCCTCCTCTTCACTTGCTCTCTCTCATCCAGGCCCTTTGTGAAAGAATCTAGTGATATGAAAATGAGCAAATTATTACCCCACTTGTCCCTGTCGTGTCCCAAATTGAGTAGTAATAAAATGCATTTATGAAATTCAGTGTTTTCAGGGTCCTGGACTCAGTGGTTCCTGAATTGAGTTGTGCATCAGCCTCATCTGAGGAGCTTAGGATAAACATTTCTGAGCCTCATCCTCCTCCCCTAAGCGATTTTTGATTGGGTGGGTGTAGGTTGGAGACCAGGCATCTGTTCTGATGAATTTCCCGGATGATTCTTCTCATAGCCAGCCCAGCCCTGCCCAAGTTCTAGGACCTTGAGCAAGTTACTTAACCTGTGTGCCTTGGTTTCTTTGTCCCAACTGGGGATAATTGGTCCTCCCCCATAGGCTTATTGTGAGGATTAAATGAGTTAATACCTGCCGAGTGCTCATTAAGTGGCAGTTCTTACCATCCTGGCATTGGGATCCACTGGTGGTTCCTTTAAAATGAAAAGTTGAAGGGTGAGAACTCCATCCCCAACTGATATACACAAAGCCATATTGTTTTGTATTGACTTTAAGTGTGTAGTTAGAAGATGCCTGCCTCTTTGCTTTACCTCCCCTCTCTAGCTGAGAATTGTTATGTCTGGAATATTCCTTTTGCAGTCCTGCTGCCGTATTCATTGATAGGAGAGGTGAAGGAATTTATACTATCCCATAACTCTAAGAAACTTTGCCAAACTCTCACCCTCAACTTATATTAAAGAACTTTATGTTAATGATCCCAGGCTTAAAGAATGAGATTCCTTGTATCTCTACTGATAGAGATAGAGATAATTTTATCTCTTCCTTTCTCATCCCTCCAGCTGTCCCTCTAGCTTCCAGCTCCCTCTTTTTTTTTTTTTTTTTTTAAAAGACACTGTATGCCCATCGTGGGGCTTGAACTCACCATCCTGAGATCAAGAGTTGCATACTCTTACTGACTGAGTCAGCCAGGTCCTCACCCCCGCCCATCCTCCCTCTTTGATCCAGCTAAAGAAGTTTTTCCATTTCTTTTCTTAACCCTAAATAGGAATTTGTAGTGTTTTCTATCAAAACTCCTTATTTCCTCCCCAGAGTTTATCACAAACGATAGTTATTTTATGTGTTTGTGTACCATCTCTCCCACCAGAATATCTCTCTGTGAAGATAGGGACCTTCTCTGTCCTAGTCACTGTCATTTTCTCAGTGACTAGCACAGTGTTTGGTACATAGTGTTTAACAAATATTTGAATGCATTATGCTTCTAGAATCTGTCATCTTGTTTGCTGAATTAGGGTGTTAGAATTGCATTTGAAGATGCTTTCATGATGGACCCTTCTCTTCTCTGTTGTGTAAATGGCCCCACTAGCCAGAGAAACCGAAGATACTCCTCGACTGTCATACCCAGTCAGTGTTTACCAGAAGACCCTGGCTAGACACTTCCCTGAATTTTTGGTAAACCTTGTCCTGTGACATTTTTGAATGGAAAAACAACAATTTATCTCTCAGTGAATTTTGAATGGAGCTTTCTACATCTAGTTCTGAGCCTGTAGTTTTCCTTACTAAAAAGACAGTGAAGGGGACCTTGGCTGATGGAGAGACTTCTCTTCCCAAATCCAACTCGTGCTTTCGCTCCACAGGGTAAGAAATTTGAGATTTTGCCAGATGGCTTGCCCTCGGCCAGGAAGCTCATCTACTATACGGGGTGCCCCATGCGCTCCCGACACCTCCTGCAGCTCCTCAGCAACAGCCACCGTCTCTACATGAATCTGCAGCCTGTGCTGCGCCACATCCGGAAGCTGGAGGAAAACGAAGGTATGGCGCAGCCTGGGGGGCGGGGGCACAAATGGTGCCTTTGCCGCCTGTGGCCCCTTACTCTTGAGAGCCCTGAAGAAGAGGCCCTGAGGGTTGGGCCTCTCCAGATTCAGAACAGCGTTCCTGTTCACATCTCATCACTGTCCTGGAAGACCAGGGTTAGGCTTGAGGCCCACCAGCTGTAGCACCTTTCCAGGAGACCTGAGGTTATCCCTGTCATTTAGCTATCCCTGAGTACAATCTCTTTAAAGTTTCCCCACACTTGCCTTGAAGACCCTTACAGAAAGCCACCGCATGAAGGTGCAGGCCAAGGTTTATCTGCGACTCAGAGCACCTTGGAATCTGAAAATTTTTTCCAGTGCAATTATTCCTTAGATTAGAGTGACAGTAAAGGTGGGTGACAGAAATGTCTCCAGTCTCTCTTACAGACTGCCAGGAGGCCCCCAAGTCGAGGTGAGCAGAATGACAAAGGAGAAAGAAGTTTTCACTCGAGGATTTTATAAGCCAGTCCTATGAGGGCTTTGCTGAGACACAGAAAAGAGCAATCCATTTGGGGCCCCTGAAAAGGGGGACGAGTCATGGTAAGGAAGAGGAAGGCAGCAGACTTCAGCTCTGCAATATTAACCTGCCAGCCCTTTATCTTGAGCTGTGGCACCCCAGGGTGACTCCATTTAACACAGTCCCCCCAAATGCTACTTTGCATATTTGCCTATTTTAATGTCTTCAATTTGTTTTGCAAATTCACGTTGTAGTAATTCTTATAATTCAATTAGATTAGGTTAGGATATCTGCATGAACATTTGGATGCAGATTCATATCTTGGGTCCATGTCTGAAACAAATATTGACCTCTCGGACCCCACCTTTCCCACAGAAACCAGGCAAATACCTGTCCTCTTAACAAAAAACCTTACAGAGGTTTGCACATCTGATTGATTTCTCTCAAAAGCTATCTCTAACTGAGACACAGTTTGGAGATGCCATTGCATTTTAAGCAGCCATCAGAACATGAATCATCCCCCGCTGTCTGCCACCAAACTGCTTCTGTCTTTGGAGAGAACTGGCATAACTGCCAGGTGTATTGGCTTCCTCTGCTGCCACACAGCCAGTTCCTCCCCACGGTGACTCATCGGTAGAACAGATACATCTCTCCAACGCTGACATGAATATCAGGAGGAATGAAGATGGGACAGAAGCACCAAGGAGACTTGTAAGAATAGGTGACCTCAGTGTAGAGCCCATCATTTTTGCCAAATTGGCCACATTCCTAAGTGGCCAGCTTATAGGGCCTTGAGAAGTTTATTCCATGACCTTTGCCGTCAGCATTTTAGTAAATTCTTACTTAGATGACCTTAAGGGGAGCGCTTTAGAGCCTGAGAGAATTCATGAACCTCCCTTACAGGTTCTAAGGTAAAATTACAAGGAATTTTCAGTTCTTCGAGGGCCGGGTTTTGTCTCTTACCATACATAGTACTACATGCATATTTGGGGGCTTACATGAGGAGGGCAATGAAGGAGTGATAAGGTGTAAATTGGATTTTTTATTTGGATAAATGTAGATAGATTTGAGGGGACATCTCTCTTTTTCTTCTAAAGAAAACATACTTAGTTTCTTCTCCTTAGAGATTCTTCTAGGTCTAAAGAAAACCTGCACTAAGTTTTTCTGGGCCAGTCTTGACCTGACTCCATTTATCTCATCCACACTTAAGGGCTTCATTTTTACAAGAAAGCTCTTTTCCCAGTGTCGGTTTAGCAAAACAAACAAACAAAAAACCCAGCACAAAAAGAGACTGTATTTTCCTTTAATTTAGAGTCACCTTGTCTGAAATACTCTTTTAGCATTTTATAGTAGAAAATGATCACAAGAATTCTTCCATAGCATTAAAAGCTTTTGTCATGAGATTTTTTAACCCAACTTGATGCAACAGTTGGAGCTTATTCTTAGGTCTTATATCAAGAGGTCACACTGACTGCATTCTGTTCCAAAATCATATATAAAAAGCTTTGTGGTCTCTGGGCTTCTACAACAAAGGGAGTACAAAGAACTCCAACATATTGATGATTTGTGCTGTTGACACCACTGATTACTAGGGAGGTGTGAGGGGTTGCATTTTGAAGGTCTTAGAATAAATTTCAGAATTACGTAAACATTTCCTTCAGTTTGTAAGAGAGTAGTGTGACCCTTCTTAACTGTTTGCACTGGGTCTAAGTGATTCAGCCCTAAGAAGGGAACACTGGCCAGCCACATAGAGCACTGAGGCTGCTCTGACATGTTGAGAGGAAGTAGATTTAGGCTAGGCTTCTATGAGGTAGAGAATAGGTTGGTGAGTGCTTATCTTCTGGTATACTAATAAATAGAGAGTAACTCTAATTGACTCTGAACCTCTGGGAAGTGTTGGGAGTAAAAGGGCTATTTGTAAAAAGGTAGAAAAGCTTTTAAGTTATTAGATCCATAATTCCCAATTGTCTTAGAATTCCAGCACCCTAAAGAATTTTTTAGAAAACTATTTTCTCTTTGCTTTCCACCTTCCAAGTGCCCCATGGCTATTATTTTGAAACTACCGTGAATAGAAATTGTATGAGAATTTTGCAAACCCCTTTAGCTTTCCATCTTCATCTCAACCACTGTAGCCTTCAGAAAATAGGAATCTTTAGAACCCAGTCTCACTCCAAAAGATGGATTGTAGATGATGCACGTGAGACTTGTCTCAGTTGTGTGTGTGCTGGGCTCTGGTGTCCAACCCCAGTCTGCTTTCCGTGTGGGCTATGCATACTCGCTGCTGTGGTGCAGCCTGATTCCTTAAAATTGTTAGGAATGGCCGGGGTGCAAAAATGTACATTGCTTCCTGGAAAGCACATCTCTTTCTGCTGATGCTCCTTCCCTCTCTAGGGAGCCCGTGGTGATTATCCTTCAGAGTTGGATTTAGATATCAGGAGTGCAAGTGTTTTCACTTACCCAAGAAACAAGACAATTAAATCCATCAATAGGCCCCTGAGAACCCAATTAGTCTACAAGTTAGCAATTTCTGAAATAATATCAATTTAACCTTCCCCAAGTGCATTCTCCATCTTTAACATTGTTCTAATGTGTTATTTCTCATCAGTGTTAAGAAAACAAAGAATCTGAACTACTTCTCTCTGTTTTAAAATTTGGACCTGTAACACAAAGGTATTATTGTATACCTGCAACTCAGTTGTGATTGGTGCTTTAATGTAATGGTTAGTTAAGCATTTGATAAAAGGGACTCTCTAATATGTCTTTGTGTTAAAGAATGGCACTGACCTATGAAAGAACAGTTTTATCAGTCAGAAGCCACACAGGTATAAATCACCAAATAGGTATCTATTATCTAAATAGATAATAAAGCCTCAGTAGTTCACCCCAGATGGAGAAAAGGAGTTTTCGTTAATGAGAAACCAAATTTTAGAACTCTTTGGAAGAAATTTGCAGAAGAATAGTTCTATTTTAAATCATATTCAACAGTCAGAACTAAACTAATTACAGGCCAAATTGAATAAATAAAATCAATGGCAATTAGTATAATTATATTTCTTAAACAGTCTTCTATAGCAGTGCTTCTGAAATTATTTTAAAATTTCCAATCCATTGTGGACTGATCTTCGGCATAATGCAAAATCACAACAGTGGCTGGCTTGGCGATGTCCCATCGCTCTAAAAACTTCGAAGTATTTATTCCCACTTACTGAACTCATGTCACTGTGGACCCATAGCAGTTTGCAGACAAGAGGTGGCCTGGCGACTCTACACGGAAGAGCACTTTTCTCCAGTTTTGAACCTTTAAAACTCTCGGAGTAGTTCAAATACTCCCTCAAATCTGTTGTTCTGGCTGATATTCATTTGCAGTCTTCTTAAGTTGAGCTCCTGTCCCAATCCTCACCACCCCCCAGCCCCTAGATTCTGGGTGTGCCGTCCCTTGCGTCTTAGCCGGGTGACTCCCTTCAGCTCCCCGGCCGTCCGCTCTGTGTTGGTTGATTGTAAGGGCGCGCTGTGCTCCTCACCACGCAGAGAAGAAGCAGTACCGGGAGTCTTACATCAGTGACAGCCTGGACCTCGACGTGGACCAGCTGGAAAAGCGGTCCCGGGCCAGCGGGAGCAGCGCGGGCAGCGGGAAGCACAGGCGCCTGTCCCGGCACTCCACCGCCAGCCATAGCAGTTCCCACACCTCGGGCATCGAGGCGGACCCCAAGCCCCGGGACGCGGGGCCGGAGGACAGCTACTCCGGCAGCGCCGTCCACCGCAAGCTGAGAACCTGCAGCTCCATGACCAGCCACGGCAGCTCTCACACCTCCGGAGTGGAGAGCAGCGGCAAGGACCGGCTCGAGGAGGACTCGCAGGATGACGGTAAGCCGCTCACCGGGGCTCCCCCGGCTCGCAGCACTGCCCCGCCCTCTCCGGCCGGCCTAGAATTGTTTTCGCATACCGGTTCTGGAGAATTGATGTGTGGGGCGCCGCCAGAAGTACTAGTAGACGAGAAGAGGGGTCTTGCATCCCCCACCCTGTGATCTGGTGGAGTTGCTTGTGTGGTGAAGAAAGCGTTCCTCTAGTGGTGATCCGTCGCGGCCACAGGCTTGGATGCTAGCGGATTCCGAGGCCTAGCAGTTTCTATGAAGCAGAGTAGAGGTCAGTCAGTCCTGCGGCGCTCATGTCTGCGTTTCTGATTCCCAGATTAAATAGGCATTGGTTAGGACAGCAGAGTAGATGCAGTGATAGTGACAGAAATGTCTTCAACTTTTTGCAGGGGAAAAAATAAAAAAAAGATTTGAGCCCAGGCCATTGGTTATTTAGTATTTCTTAAATTCCTCCTATGCAACTGGAACTCTCGGAATATAAGAGAAATTAGCACCTGGCTGCTTAACTCTGTGTTAAGGAGATAAAACGAGACTTCCAGCCAAACTTAGCCTATGTGTGCATCCTTTTTATTATTTTTCTGCCTCAAGTGCTATAGCATTCAGGTTTGGGAAGAAGATACTGACTTCATTAAGGACAAATGCAGCACATTTGCTTGGTTTGGTTACTATAGAATTCATGTGGACCTCAAATGAAGTCCCTGAAATGCCTTGTGAGTAGGCAGCAATGGGAAATGGGGAGCTTCGTGAACTACTCATTGTGCTCTGGCCTTAGGCAAACAGCTTGTCAGTCTCACTTTACCCTTTGTCATCTCAGCAAGGTGCTATAGCTCTTTCCTTCTTTCTTTTAAAATTTTTTTTAGGATTTAATTTATTATGTATTTTAGAGAGCACGTGCGAGCGTGAGCATGTACAAAGGGTGGAGCAGAACGAGAGGGACAAACAGACTGTGCTGAGTGAGGAACCTGATTCAGGACTCGCTCTCACAAGCCTGAGATCAGGACCTGAGCAGAAATCAAGAGTCAGACAGTTAACTGACTGAGCCACCCAGGCGCCCCTTTCTCTTTCCCTCTTTCTTAAAGAGTAAAGAATAATTGACAATCAAATTGTGGCAGGAAAAGACATGTAGATAACACAGCGATCCTGTGAAAAAAGAGAACAAATTCATCTAGTTGAGAATTGTCCCTAGAGTTTCCTATTGTAGATTCTCATTAGCAGATATGTTTTAGAATATGGATAATCACATAGCCTCCCTCAAAGTATGGCTATGAATTCTGGTGTCCATTTTCCTTCATATCCCCAAATGTCTTTTCCTTCTTCTGTGTCAGAAATAGAGATGCTGGTCGATGACCCCAGGGACCTGGAGCAGATGAATGAAGAGTCTCTGGAAGTCAGCCCAGACATGTGCATCTATATCACTGAGGACATGCTCATGTCGCGGAAGCTGAATGGACACTCTGGTGAGCTCTTACGGGAAGTTCTTCTTAAATAGTGGACTGTCCCAGGCTGAGAAGCAGGTGCCTCAGAAAATAGAAGGGTTGGGTAGGGCTCTAGGTCTGACAGGACTGGAGTCAGAACCTTTCCAAGTCAGCACCGTAGACTGCAGGATTGAGTATCTTCTGAGGAAGAAAGGGAAAGGAAGGGGAAGAAGCACCTCGGATTGGGAATTAGCATTCTACCCCAAGCGCTGGACAAAGTGGTAAAATACAGTTTTCTCTTGCTGTTGATTTGTTTTGCTGTTTTAAATGATAATCAGAGAATCCTATAATACATCTAGAAGGGGCCTCAGAGACCTTTTTATAGATGAGAAATCCTGTAGATTAGGGGGACAAATGCTGTGTGGCTAGAAATAGAAGTCAGGTCTCCAGGTTTGTTTTGTATTGTTTTCCCCACTATATCATACTAAGTGTAGGAGTCTGGAGGAAAAAGGTGTCAAAAAAGTTTGACATAAAAAGACATTTTTACTAAATCCCATATTCAATTAACTCTATTAGAAAACATGCATTCACTGGAACCCTAGTAAAAGGTTATATAATATGTAATATCTCTTTCTACCAAATAAAAGATGTTACCCTAAAAAAAAAAAAAAAAACAGCACTGTGGGTTTTGTTTTTAAGCCTCAGTCACTCCTAGCAGGCCTTGTCACATTTCATGACTTGGTCTCCGTTCTGTACAAAAACACGCGTTAGGAATCAGCAGTGTGGACATGGCGCAGGTGCTTATTGTTCAGCCATGTTGAGCTTTGAGTGAAAGACCCTGTTTACAGCTGGGGTGACCTGTGATTGCTCTGTCAAGACCCACGGTCCCCGATAGTGAGCGTCACCCCTGCAACAGGTGCTGGGAATCAGAGATGAACAAGGCCAGCACACATGGTCCCCTCATCCTGGCACTTAATTGTAATTTCACTTGCTGACCTAGCAGAACCATGGCCTCCAGATGCTCCGCCAGGAGCCGACCTGCCAGTGGTTACAGAGATTCTCTGCCGAACCGACACAGATTCGTCCGGCTGCTTGCTCTGGTCATGCTTAGAGTTCTCGTACCAAACTTGGCTCCTTTTGTTTTTTGCCCATTTGCTTTATTACATAGACATTTTTCCTTATAAATACATTTTAATGTATATTAAATATAAACATACAATTATATACACATTATAGGTGCATGGATGTCATGCTCTCGATGCGTGCATGTGTATTATTGTGGAAAGAAAACGGTATAAACAATACACACCAAAGTGTCTATGGGAAGAGGAGGTGTAAGGGAAGCAGACTTTTTGGGGTGCCTGGGTGGCTCAGTCGGTTGAGCGTCTGCCTTCGGCTCGGGTCGTGATCCCGGGGTCCTGGGATCGAGCCCCGCATCGGGCTTCCTGCTCAGCGGGGAGCCTGCTTCTCCCTCTCCCTCTGTCTCTCCCCTCGGCTTGTTCTCTCTCTCAAATGATAAACAAATAAAATCTTAAAAAAAGAAAAAGGGAAGTAGACTTTTGCTTTTTATTTATATAGTTCTACGTTTAATTTTTATGATAAGATTTTGTAATTTTGAATAAAGTATAAATAAGGTAGTGGTTTAAAAGGTTTATATACAAAAAATACTTCTTGAAATGTTATTTATAATAGCAGAGAAAAGGAAAAAGAACTTAAGTTGTATTCTGTCCATATATGGAATATTGTACGGCCATTAAGTAATGAGATTTTCAAAAGATGTTTAATAATATGAAAAAGATAGGCAGGAAAAACACAAATTGTATAAACAGTAGGATCTCAAATTATAAAAACGTATATATGTATATGGAAAAATACATAAAAATATTAATAGCCTTTTCTCTGGATGATGGGGTTATAGATGATCTTATTTTCTTTCTTACATCATCCTACTTTTCCAAATTCTTTACAATTTGAGCATCTAAACATTGTTTTTTAAAATGTGGAGCTGAGATTGAGTAGTGATAAAAGTTTGGTAGATGTTGGTTTAGTATTCTGACCACCAGACTCGATGCTGATTTATCTAATGCAGAGTCTGGGTTTGGGAGCAGATTATTTACAGGTGTAGTGGCCAAGAGCACAATTGCCAGGAAATCCAGAAGGACCCATCCCAGGTCCTAGTGCACTAGTCCACATCTTTCTGTGAGGATTTGTTAAGAGTTTAAAGCTTTTTAAAATACAAGGATGTTCTTTTTTTTTTTTTTTTTTTTTAAGATTTTATTTATTTATTCATGAGAGACAGAGAGAGGCAGAGGGAGAAGCAGGCTCCCAAGGAGCAGGGAACCCGATGTGGGACTCCATCCCAGGACCCCGGGATCATGACCTGAGCCGAAGGCAGACGCTTAACCATCTGAGCCACCCAGGCGCCCAAAATATAAGGATATTCTAGAGAAAGACCCCCTACTAAAGCAGTCTGTACCACCCCCAAAACATAAATATCCACCTGAGAGTTTTTAAACTGTCTACATGTAAACCAAGAATGTCTTCCATTCGTGTTTCAGTTGAATTAATTATCAAACACTTAATATATGCAAGGCCTATATTAGTCACTTGAATCATGAATCATTTCTAAAGAGTTAAGAGATAGAATACAGAAGGCCATTTCTGAGGTTATTTAGCAGTAGCTAAATAAAAATCCCATTACTCAGCGTTCTTTTTTTATAAGGTGAGAACGTACTTTACCTGAGAAGCCATTTGGCCTTGAGGCTCTGGGGTTTGACCGATGTGCTTCATCTGCCTGCAAGAAAAATGTCAGTGGTCATCTTCACTCGTGTCTCCAGTTCTTGTTAGTGGTTTTATCGCCGGAAACATCGGTTTCTGGTGCTTCACTCACGTGTCACAGATGCAGAGGGAGGTTTCAGCCCTGGATTTCTGTTGCCAAAGTATTAGCGGATTGCCCCTGAGCACTGGGGCGATTAGGGGCCCTGTTGCTCTCAGAGGTCCAGAACCGAATGTTCAGGGCAACCTCCCATTTGTGGCCTCTCCCCGGTAGGATCTGCTGCAGGAGGCGAGTGCCACAGGGCCCCTGTCAGCCCGAGGCGTTCCTGTGAGCTGAGTGTGTCCCGCAGGCAGGCCCGACACCTTGCCCTTGCCATGCATTTGCTCTTCAGTCATCCTTAAACTCTGTGGGATGAATGCTGCTTTCAGCCCCACTTTATAGGAGGAGACTTAAGACACAGGGAGGCACAGTCACTGGCCAGCAGACACAGCTAATTACTCGTCTGGGCCCAGTTGCATCCCAGATCTGTGTGACTCCGGAGGCCAGAGCCCCCCAGTAAACCACCACACATCTAAGGGCAAGCAAACGTAGAAGGCCGTGTCATGGTTCAGCTGGGGTTAAGTTCAGACTTTGTGCTCTGTGGAACGTGGGGAAACTTGAGGGGATAAACTGCTTTACACTTACAGTCTTTCTTTTTGTTACTTCATAAATAGCTTAATGAGAAGTTGTCATTTAGAAAAATCAGACTCTAAACTCCTTCCTGTCCTCTAACCCCACATTTACTCCTCTCCCTCTCCTCCCTATTTACTGTAAGACAAGAGACAGAATGTGTTCCGTCCTGACTGTCCACCACGGAAGAGTAACAGATTTTTCAGTAACGGTTAATATTTGACGTCTCAATCTTGGTGGTTGTATTTGTCAGATATGTGGCCAGAGGTATGACTAATAGGAAATCTTCTCTGTTTTTTCTTCTTCTTCTTCTTCTATGTTTTACTTTAGGGTTGATTGTGAAAGAAATCGGTTCTTCTAGCTCCAGCTCCTCAGAAACCGTTGTCAAGCTTCGCGGCCAGAGCACTGATTCTCTTCCGCAGGTACAGAAGGGATTGGAAAATTTAAATTGGGTACTGAAGCTATAGAAAACTAAATAGAACTTATAGTTATATTTATATAAATGAGCAAAAAATTTAAAAAACCCTAAGGAAATGATTCTTACTAGGGACATTCTAGTTTTGTTCTGAATTTACGTCCATTTTATTTGCTAGTTGCATTCATCTTTAAGTTGATTTCTATTTGGATAAATTGTATACTTTGTTTAACACTTTTTATAGCTGGGAAGCCTCTAGACCTCAAACCTCAGGTTAACTGTGTGTGTGTGTGTGTGTATTTATTGACCTCAACAACTGGGAGGATAATTTTCTCGTCAGGTGTGTCATGGCAGAAATGTTTCCACACTCTGATCTTTCTATTCAGATTGAATTTTCTAAGCATGCTGAGTGAGGCTGTTTGATAACCTGTGATCGCTGGCTAGACTATTAAAATATCAAAAGATAAAACACTCTGAAACTCATGGTTGCAGCATCTGGATTTATTCTGCAACTGATTCTCACCTCTGCTTCCTGAGCATTCTCTTGCTCTCTCCTTTTATGCCTCTCTCTTGGAACGTCTCTGTCTTTTTTGTTTTTTGTCTTCTGTGTGTGCTTCTCTCCTCCCTTTTCCCTGTCTCTCTCATTTAAGTAACCTTAATGTGCACCTGATGTTTTATTAAATATTTTTTTGAGTGTTCCAATGAGTCATTGCTAAAGCAGTATGTGTAGCATGATGATTACGAGCTCCAGGGTCACACTGCTTGGGTTTGCCCCCCGGTTCTGCTCCCCCCCCCCCGGCGGTGTTAGGTGTGACCGTACAGAAATGTCCGTGGGACACAGCTCAGGATCAGGTTCCACAGCGGCAAGGCGGGAAGCACTGTTGTATGCCTGCTGCGTGGATTTGCGGTGAGGACCTAGTGCATTCTGTGTGGGAGACCCCGGTGGCCCCCCGGGAGCCTGCCTGAGTACAGGCGATCAGCATCTTCAGGGAGTGCTCAGATGGGTTACTTCCTAATAAAATGTTTTTGGGCTCAGACCCTGTTCTCTCCTCCTGGCACTTTTGCCTTTAGCAACACTCCATCACTTAACTCTAACAAGGGTTGGCTTTTGTGGTGTTCAGCAGCACAAGCTGAGAGGGTCATGCCTTGTTTCCTTAAATCGCCAATTAAGTATCTTTCATTCATGGTAATTGTCTGAGCCGCTTTTTAACCTATTTATATTTTCAGCCAGTAGCACTTCTTGGGATAATGAGTTCTAGAAGTCTGCTGCCCGCTGTGTGAAGTATTTGGCAGAATACCACTTAGAGTGTTCGGGAGCTGCCTCTTGCCTCCCAGCCTTTTCTGTACTTTGTATTATTTTTCGATCCAAGAATTCTAGCTTTTTAAAAAAACAATTCTTCAAATTGTGTTTCTTGAATAATAATTGGTTCGTTTCCCCACTTATTAAAATAATAACAGACCTCAGCATGAGAGTGTTACCATGCTGAATTGTCATATTCTAGTGGGGAAAAAAAAATTGGGGCCCTATCTTTACCTATCCAGCCCTATTTTAAAACTGTTTCTTGACAGTTGGGGTTCCTGATGTATTCACTTCCTTTGCCTTAGATTGTTCATCTGTAAAATGGGGAGAATAATGGCACTGGCCTCGTAGGGCTGACTGGAAGATTGAACTGTCAGGGCCTGCACGTAAGGGCTCAGTGAATGTTCGCCGCTGTTACTGGTGGTGGTGGTGGTGACATTTTACCCAGACCCTCAGGGGCCCAGAAACCTCAGATCGGAAATCACTTTCCAACATACAAAGATTCCATAACCTTCTGTGATTTTGCAGCCTCTCTCTTAACAAGGGCAAATACTGCTAACCTTTCACTTTGGTCTATACTCTTAAGGTTGTTTTATGTTTTACCCTTCCCTTATTTTGCAGACTATATGTCGGAAACCAAAGACCTCCACCGATCGACACAGCTTGAGCCTTGATGACATCAGACTTTACCAGAAAGACTTCTTGCGCATTGCGGGTCTATGTCAAGACACTGCTCAGAGCTACACTTTTGGGTGTGGCCACGAACTGGATGAGGAGGGCCTGTACTGCAACAGCTGCTTGGCTCAGCAGTGTGTCAACATCCAAGATGCTTTTCCAGTCAAAAGAACCAGCAAGTACTTTTCTCTGGATCTCACTCACGATGAAGTTCCAGAGTTTGTTGTGTAAAGTACGTCTGCGCCCAGCTAGCTCTACATAGCCCTACAGGCAGCCTGCTGTTGGCTGGAGGCTGGAAAGCCATGGTTCGTTCTTTAATTATTGTGCCATATTCTCTTCACCCCAGAACATAACTCTTTCTTGATGATAACTTGCGATGGAAATAAAAGCCTTGGGACAATTGCACTTTAAGTATTACACAGAGATAAAAGAACTGCGGAGAATGTACAGCAAGACACGTGCCCGGAAGTTCATGATCCTTTGGAAGGAAATGTGCTTTACTGGTTACCAAGCCTTCAAATATTGAATTGTGGTGTGTTTGTTCCTTGTTTTGTTTTTTCGTTTGGTTACACGACATCACATTTTTTTTATCATGTGAAAGATGTTGTTAGGTTTATTTGTTTGCTTGTAATTTTTTTTTTTTTTTGTTACTCCCTCACGCACGTGGTTTGAGGGAGGAGAGAAGAGTCTCTCCTTTTAACGGAGAGACCGGTGCCCACTACATAGCCATTGCTGCCTCACTGGGGCTGTCCCAAAGTGAACACTAATGAAGTGGTCAAAATCCTGTAGCTCTAGCAAGCCAAAGATACGGACATACCAGAAGCGCAGCCCAGGTCCAGAAAACGTGAGTGAAGCAATAACCAGAAGACTCTGTGTGCTACGATGCCTTTTGACTCCTTCACACCCAGTCAGTGCCATGTCCTCTTCCTGCTCGCCCGAAGGCTCTAGGACCCTGGGGAGTGTCTCATCCGAGTAACGGATCAGTGGTGTTCATGTCATCGTGCGTTTTGTGGCATTTGCAAAACCAGTTTCTGTTAAAACTGTGGAAATGTCTTAGAAAATGTTTGTGCTTGGTGTTTTGTTTTAATCAAGAACCAATTACGGTAATGCTAGTTTCTGCTTAACCAAAATACCCTAACTGTACGTGTATGTTATACATATATAAATACCCGAGATTGCGTGTGTTTATATGGGTTTAAAGCTTACTAACTCTTCTTGGCTCCCATGACTGTTTTTGTGTATGTGGTCTTTCTTGTTGAATATGGAAGATGTGTCACTGAATGAATGATACCTACAGACAATCAGTTAATATATGTAGAGTTAAGAATGACTGTTTTCTCGTGGGTCTTTTGCCGTGATTCTCAACCCTGGTTGCTTTAAAAACAGTAACGATGTCTGGGTCCCACTTCAGGCCAATAAACTCAGCCTGTTGCAGTGAGGTCCAGGTGGACCTGCCTTTTCCTTTAAAGCTCCGAATGGAGCTAATATGAAACAGGGTTTAAAACCACAGCTCCAGAGGGTGTCTTTCTGTTAATTTCGAAGTTGAAAGTGTACAGAAAATGTTAGCGTTTGAGAGAAGGCCATTTTTAAGACAGTTATTGCCACTGCTGTTAGGATATAGAATGAAAGCAGGTCAGGAGAGTGAGTCTATTAACCGTTAGATGTACAGTAACAATGTTGTTCGCACTTCAGGAGAGAACTTTAGCACAATGTCTTTCTAGGAGATGTTTGTAATGATTTCATATTTTATAACATTTGTTTACCATATTTTGATATACCATTTTTTCTATCTGCCAGGTTTTCTTAAAAAAAAAAAAACTATATATTATTTTCTAAAGAAACAGTCATATTTTTATACAAAATTAAGTTTTCAGGTCACAAAGAAATAGATTTCGGGTACAGCGGAACATGCGGTGTTCCCCGTGGGTGGGAGTTGGTGTGATAAACGCATGGAGAACGCGGACCCGCCCCGCCTGTGCCGCCCTCGCACACCCACATGCGTGTGTGCACCCGCAGGGCAGTTTGTGCACTCCAAGCCGGTCAGATCAGTTTCACCCGACACTGGTAAAGGAACAAAAGTTCTGTAGAGTTCTGTAGTCATGAAATTATTTTGCTTTTATCAAAAGTTCTGAACCAAAGTTTCAGATACCAGAATGTACAAAAGTGTCTCAGTCTTCTGTACGAAAGGGTAGAAGGATCAGCCAATGACTGCTTCACTTACAAGTAAGTCGTTAAATAATCCACCATTTCGTATGGATGCTTCAGAGACGAATCCTGGGAGGTTTAACTGTAAAGAGCCCAGATCATAATGTGGTGCATTTCCTTTGCTCTTAGTGTTTCTTGCAAACATCAAGACAAAAGCATATTTAATTAAGTATGTAGTGCTTTATTTTCTCTGTACTTCAACCAGAATCAGGTCTTCAGGGTTTTGCCAGCATTGTTGGTGGTTTTGCATACCCTCTTTCTAATTGGATTTATGAATGTCTTGTAGGTTTTCAAAAATGAAACATGCTGAGGAACATTTTTGCTTTGTGATCCAGTTTGCAGCAGAATTATATATATGTATATGAAAATCCATTTTGGTTATCGACATTTTGTATTTGGAAATTGTTTTAAACAATAAAAAAGGAAAAGAAACGTATGAAGCTGTAATTTATTCTGCATTTGTTAATATCGTTGCTAGTCGGTATACCCGTTTGGTATATATGGCCTCTCTACATCTACACTTGTATTTGCAACAATGAGCTTTATATCGACATAAACTGTAAATAATCCTTTCTGTGAAAGGATCATCATATCAGGATGATACCAAAAGTGTGTAAAAGAAAACTGCATTATTTTGTAATGATTTCTTACAGGCATTTCATGGTAAGATTAGCAGTCAATAAAGTTACTTTTTATTTGTCTTTAAAGTGCCTTTTTTTTTTTTATTAGAGTTCTCAATGAAGCAAGAGGCATTAAGAAGTGAATGTTTTCTGTGTGTTCTTCTTTCCTATAACAGAGCACCTGGAGGGACATCCTAAAGGTCCAGTGTGGTAGAGCTCCCAGCCGGACGGCCGTGTGGCGGGAATGCTCTAGAGGTTGGAGGCTGAGCCCTGCCACGTGCTGTGCCTGTCCCACGTGTGTTAGGAGTTCATGGATTAACTCCTTTCATCCTCATACGCACATAAAGCAGGTGCTAGTCTTATTCTCAAGTTAGAGATGAAGGAACCAAGGCTCCAAGAGGCCGTGGCAGCCAGCCGTTATACACGCCCAAGTTGAGGGGCTGAAAGCACTCAGTAAAGCAGAATATTTTTCATTTTTTTCAGTTAAAATAACCACTTTAATTTTGCCCACAAAATAATCATCTTTGGCATGTTAAGTTTTCAGTTTTAAAAAGTAAATGATTGCATCTACAAGCATGCAATCCCCAGGCTGAAGGTGAGGGCAACAGGGCATCGAGGATGGAGCCTGGACCTCCATTTTGGGTCAGTAGACAGGAGTCTGGAGAGCCCGGTCAGCCTTGTGAAAGGGCGGCCATTACCGTCCCGTTACCCGGTTTTCTTACCTACGGTGGATTAATAATTCAGAGGGCCATCCGGGGTTTCAGTCAGGTAAGAGTTAGAATACGGCCCTGAGGACGAAGGTGGCAGAGGAGGGTTTTCCTTGTATAGGAATTTACCTATGTATGGACATTTACCTTGTATAGAATTGTGGCCATTTGGAAGCATACAATCCAAAACCTCACTAGAGGTGTTACTCCTGAATTTTGCAGTGTATCTGGTAAATTGTGAGTAAAATGTCTGGTCACCTGCTGTGTATCTGACACGACGACACATGTCATATCTAATCTTCACAACCCTTCGGGGAGTCAACTCATTTTACAGCCGAGGAAACAGACTTCCCCAAGATCCTACAGCTCAGAAGTCTAGAGCAGCGTTTGAAACCCAAATCCACCTCCAAAAGCTTTGCTTTTTCTACTACATACACCACGTTATCCACCGCACTTAGAGAAAGTTCACAATCTAATACAGAAGACAGATTTAGGATTTTGATACCACGAGAAATGAAATTATTTGTTGGGACAGTTTTTTTGGCCACTCTGATGACAGACCTGTGGGGGGATTATTTGGGTATTGCTCGGGTGCAGAGGCAGTGAAGACCTTGGGGGTAGGTAGGGAGTGGGAAGTGGGAAGAATGGAGGTTTTACTCAGAGGAAGAGCCTTGAAGGGGGACTTCTGGCAGATGGGGGTGAGGTAAAAACTGTCCGCGCAAAGATGAGAAGCCGGAGACAACAGTGTTCATTCAGGGACCTTTGGGCTTGAGGAACGACTCTCCCAGACGAGTTGTGAAAGGCCCTGGGTGCCCAGAGGAGGACGCTGAGTTTTTGTCTGATCAGGGAGCCACTGAAGGGGACTATAAAAGGAAGGAGACATTTTGAGAGACATTATTTGAGAGGAATAATGGGATCAGTGCTACTGGAAGACAGGGAGAAGGGGCAGCACTGGAGAGATGGTGACCTGAACAAGGATGCGGCCACAGGGAGAAGAAAAGTTCAAAAATAACGTAGCTATGCCTCTGTCCCCCTCTCATTCTCTCCCCTCTCCTCCTCTCCGCCCCCCCGTCTCTCTCTCTCTCTCTCTCTCTCTCACACACACACACACACACGTCACCTTCTAAGCTAAATCCTAGAGAAATAGGCAAGTTTTCTGTATTTGGCAACATGCTTGGGAAACCAAAAAGTTCACTACTGCTTTATATATAATGAATTAAAATCTCTGCACGAATGCTTTGAATGTTAAATATTGGCACCATGGCCACACACACTGTAATGTGGAGGCAGTGGTTCTCAAGCTGGGCTGCACATAAGAATGACCTGCAGAATTTAAAACAGCAATGCCTGGGGTCCAGACCAGAGCTGCTGATTTATTCGGTCCCGGTGGGCACGGTACTACGAAAAGTTCGGCCAGTGATGCCAGTGTGCATCAGGGGGTAGACTCGTTCTACAGGTGAGCCCAAGCAGTGTAGACCAACCAGGCAACCTGCTCCTGAGCTGGCTTGATCCTCACTTGGGCTGAGTTGCTTTGCCAGAGTGTCCCAGTTTATTGCATTTTGTGAGAATGACATTATTTTCTTTTTACCAGTACAGAGGTCAGAGTGTGGACCAATGCTCAAGTCCAGTGAACTCACCATTTCGGGAAGTCTGAATACACCCACATTCTGGAGAGCGGGGTGATACATACATATAATTGTTTGGCCAAGTATGAGAGTGGAGGTTATGGGAGTTCAGTAAAATACTCGAACATCTCCTCCCTGTCACTTTTATTTGCTTCGTCATTTCTCTGATGCTTTATATAAGTTGACCGCTACAGAGAATAATGAATAAAAGTAAGCTAACTTCCACCTAGCCCTTTGATTCTTAAGATATTTATTTGAGTTAATGGAGGAGCCTGACCTCTGAAAAGTCCTGCTCAGATGCCATGAGACATTGTGGGTGATGGAGTTATATACTCTCAAGAGATTAATCGAAGGTCTACAAACAGGGCACAGCTATAATTAACCAACTCATTACTTAAGATGGGTGTTTACCCATCTGGTGTCAACAGTAGTCAGTTAAGGTCTCCTTATGTTATTACTGTCATTATGGCAAGAGATGGATTTCATAAACACAGTTCCCAACTTAGAAAAGAATTATGTTCCAAGTTTGCTTTTAAATTGGTTGCTTGGTGTTTACCACACAACCTCCCCAGCTTCCCTAACTAGCCCACAAATGCCTATTTATCCCAGAGATACTATTGGAGACGATTTTTTTCTACGAATTAGTAACCAACAACAAAGAGGCCCAGAGTATAAATAAGGTAGACAGAGTGACCCCACAACCAGATACAGAAGACCAGTAATTCAATCTTCAGGTTTTACTTCTCAGAGTATATCCATGCCCAAGTGTACATAGAAAAAAGCAGTTTGCCTGGGTGGCTCAGTCGGTTAAGCGGCCAACTCTTGATTTCAGCTCAGGTCTTGATCTCAGGGTCGTAAGTTCAAGCCCCAAGTTGGGCTCCACTCTGGGTGTGGAGCCTATTTAAAAAAAAAAAAAAAAAAGTAGAAAAAAGCTTCAGGCAAGCCATGTCAAAATAAAGCCGCTCTCAGTCAGTTTCTACCTTGGGGGTTCCATGAGGGATGCTTCTAGGGT